AATGCGATGGAACCGCAGCAGCACTGGCAGTGCCCTCATTTGCCGCTCAGAAATTGAAGAAGACTGCCTCAGGAAAGGCGACATTACTCTGAGGCAAATTCCAAAGAGAAGGAGCTGCTACGTGTGTGCCGTGTGAATCCTGTACAGGATGGTGGAGATGGTGGGAACGCAATCTGCATTTTCAGCCACCTCCCTTCTCTTGTGTACTCTGCTGGAAACAAATGTATTTCGGTGACCTAGAAATGAAAGTACTTTCTCTTCCAGGCTAGCCTTCGGCTGGCAGCTTGAAAGCTGTCTTGCTGTTCCTTAGAAAATAACAGCAGTAGCAGGGGTGAGGTTTACATGTCTATTTCAGTCGAAACCATTGTTTTTCTTTTCCATTCATTCTAGAAAAGAGAAAAAGAAAAGGATAAAGTACTGTAGCACTTGAGTGAGTGGGATTTTAGCTTGATGTTGCATGTTTTACCTGGAAGGAGAATTAACATTGCTCTTCACCTCCATGTGAGGTAGAAGACACAGGCGCAGTGGGTTATGAGTGTGCCTGACCCACAGCCCACCATCCTCGACACCAAATGTTCTGCCTTCCCCTCTTTAAATCCCCCCCTTTCTCATAGACCAACTTTTTATGCTTTAGGACATTATCTGACACTAGGCCTTGGGTCCAGTTTCTTCTTCTGTAGCATATGCACTAACTGTTGTTAATGCTGGTTATTCCAGCAGGAGGAAAACAGTAGACCATTCTCTTATTAATAAATGACTCAGCAACTGTAATCCAACAAAAGTCATTTTTTTTCTACTTTGTGTAGCGATGTAGAAAGCCGCTTTTCACCCTCTTTAGAAATCCTATTATTTTCATAATTGAATTTTTAATCCTTGGATTGAATACACATCTTAGATTTAAATTTAGAAAATGTCTGTATTTATATTTTGAATTCGTCTTACAAGTGGCAATATTGGGTCTAATGTAACAATTGCCCTTCCATATGCTTCTTCCATATCCTCACTCATTACCCTGTACTAATATTTTTTAAAGTTTTTAAAAAATTACATGTGAAGTAGAGATGAGCGGTTCAGTGTGTGACTTAAGTAAAACATGAAAGTGTTTATTTAAAAATCATTTTTAAATTTTAGTGCTGAAGATTTTTAGTTCAGGAGGTTGGTGACAGAAGTAATTTAGAGGAGAGCAAGGGATATGGGTCTTAGCTCTAAAACTTGCTCAACTCTAAAAGGGGAGGCTTGGCAGGTACCACAGGGGTTGTTCCACTCAATCTAGTTGAATTTGCATAAAGTTGCCTCTTGAAAAACTATCTTGCCCATGGAAATGCCTCGGGTTTTTCATGATCTTGTGGTCCACCTGCTCCTTGCCATTCTCTTCAGCTCTGCCTTCATCTGGATCCTAACTTGGCTTGCTGTTCTCTGTGATGCTAAAAGGCAGCCCATGCCGGAAAGGTTCTCTGCAGCCCTCTGTGGTGATGGGACCGTGGTGGCTCAGCAGCCTTTCTGATCCAGTGTGTGGAGAAACCTTAACAGGGCGCTGAGCTGAGGCTGCTCACTGTTCCTCCTGCAGGATCTCATTTAAGCCCAAATATTTCTTTATTCACTTACCTGTCTGAGCCATTACTTCGGCTGGGAGTGAAATTTAAAAAGAAGCAAAAAGAGCTTATTTTCTTTTCTGCATTCATTTTTTTAAAAAAATTATGAATCCTACCTTTAAAAAAGCAGATTTTTTTTGTTTTACATTTCTTTTTTTAAACTCTTCTTTAAAAATTTGTTATACAGATTAACACATTTCATTTTATCAAATCCGTCCAAACATATACCTCCATACTTTATTGATTTCAAATCCAGAAGTGTCAGAAGCATCACATGGGTGCTTTCTCCTCCTCCCACACTGCAGGCCAGCCTTGTTCAGCCCTTTGCTAAAGATGGCAAGAACTAGGTGCGGGGATCCTACAACAAACTGTTCACTCCAAGAAGATTCTTCACTTTGTAAAGAGTTAACAGTGTAGTGCAGAATTTCCCAAAGTGTGTACCAGTAAAGGTGAACACGTGACTAGATTGTCTGGTCAAGTCACTGCTTAGACCAGGGGAGTTCCAGTTAAGGCTTGATTTGGGGGAAACATTCTATACACATGCAGCCAAACAGGGAGAAAAGAAGAGAGGAAGGAAGAAGAGAGAGGGAAGGGGAGCACCGATGCTCTGAGCTCAGTGCAGTAACAGAAACAAGGACATGTTCCGTGGTTACACAGAGGTGAGCAGTGATTAACACACAGATATCAGAGAAGTTGAATCTAGAAAGAGAGAATAAATTTATTGGGGAGCCAGAAAGCCAAAGGGCATCTTAGATCAAGAAAGCAGATCATCAGAAATGGCTGATAGAACACAGTACTTTTAGAGACCTACTATCAGTTGGGTCTTGAGGACCACAGTGTGACCGCAGGTGGGAGCCTCCAGGTGGCCCGGCAGAAAGGTCAGCCCTTAGAGGGTCCACAAGTCACACACAGGACCTGCTCCTATCCAGCCTGTGGTTCCATTCAGAGAATCTCAAGGTAGATCAGCTGTATGACGTCTAACAGACCTTTATTTGTCTACAGTTTCCCTGCTATCTCCCTTGACTCTTTAGTAGAGAAACAGCCATTGTTTAAGCTGTGATTTATTGCCTTTAAAGTAAGCCATTGAGTCCTTTGCAAAGGTCATCATTACAGCACTGAACACAATTAATTACTTGGCTGTCAGAGACTCTGGAGGTTATTCCGCGCTTCTCAACAGAAGGTGCTGTTGCTACTTCTTTCTTGCGTGAGTTTGACCTCTGCTTTGCAAGAAAGTTTATGTTCCTAGTCCCTGTACTAAGAGCAGGAGCACTTTTCTCCTCTTCAAGCATTTTTGCAAACTACCTAATGTTTTCCAAACGCTCCTTGGAATGCAAAGAATTGGTAACAATACCTACTCTCCTCTCCTCTCCTTCAAATGCTGAACACAGTCTTCCCCACATTTGTAGATGGGCAAATGAATGCAGACACAGCTGGTGGTCATAGGCAAAGCCTCTACAATTTCCTGCACTTGCACCATCTATACCAGCCCTTACCTCAATTTTTGTGAAATTTAAGAAGGCATGAGAGGTTATGCCTGTCACTATACTGCCTTACCCATATGTCTCCTCCTTTGGCTCTTTTTCAAAAAAGGGAGAAGGAAAGGGAGCACAATGAAGGTTGAAAGAGGAAAAGCATACTATTAGTACCAGATCAAAAAGATTTTAACAGCTGGGATATGCAAGAAGAGAAAAGGCAGGGTGGGAAAAAAATAATAGAGGTAAAAGTTAGTGTGGTAGAGAAACCGAAGAAAAAGGGGAAAGATTTAAGAGCATGAAGATACAGTAGCTCTTAATTACAAAATTAGATCAGTAGTGCTTTTTACTGCAATTTAAAAGTGGCCTAATCAAGTTAGCACGTTTTTTCCTACTTCACCATGAAAGTTGCATCAAACCAATCACCTCTTTTCCAACCAGAAGTGTTGGCAACAGCCTCTTTTACCTGCTGTGACATACCACACCACCATGCGCAGGCTCTTACACTTGCCTGGCCTTGAAAGCACAACAGCAAGGCATGGTCCTTGCCTTCATAAAATATAACCTTACGAGGAAGACAGTGTTTAAGTAGCAAGGTAAGACTGTCAATAATTATAGCCATCATCTCCTGACAGTTAATATGTGCCAGGCACATCCCAGAATCTCTCATTTCATCCTCACTGGGATGATAAGCTAAGGATTATTATATCTGTTTTTCAGATGAAGAAACTAAGGCTTCAAAAGCTGAGGGGTTTATGTAAGGTCTTAAAGTTGTGATTTAAATCCACCTGATCTAGAAGCTCTCTTATGCTGCCTGATGGCCCTAAAGGTTGATAATTCCTAGTGTAAAATCTGAAATCTAAAGTGCTCCAGAATCTGAATCTTTTTCAGCTCTAACATGATTCCATGAGTAGAAGATTCCACACATGACTTCATGGGGATCACAGTCAAAAGTGAAAACACAGGCACACTAAAATTGCTGTATAAAAGATATGTGGAAAAGGTGTGTAGAAAAGTGGTGAATAGACTTTGAGATTTCTCATTATGTGTATGCAAATATTCCAGAGTATAAAAACATTCAAGATCTGAAAATTGCTAGCCCCCAGGCATTTCAAGTAAGGGGTTCTTAATCTATGGTAGGTAAAATATTTGGGGAAGTGCTACACAGAAGATGCGTTTAGAAGTGATGGGTCTGATCGTACTTGCTGATGTCTGAAAGTCTGATATAGTCATTGTTTTCTCAAGGAATAAGCGAAGAGGAAATTCTTTGGGGATTACACTCTCACTGCGCCCTGTTTGCTTCTTATTCTTTGGTATCTGCTTTTGTGTGGCTCCAAAGGCCAAAGATGTCCACCTGGGAGAAGCAGTTGCTGAAGCTCAGCCCAGATTTATTGACCATTGTTTGGGTTTGTGGTCTCTTTGGATTACTCCACTGTCACTGTTCAGGTTCTTTTAAGATAAAGATAAGCAAACAATGTGAATTACAGATGAATTATATTCAGCTGATTTTGAATTGTTTTTCAAATATTTGAAAAATCAGGAAAACCAAAGTTTCTTTACATGCTGAGTGTTTTCTAATAGAGATTCTTGTGTCTCCTCCATCTGGGCCTGATTTCTCTCCCATATTTTACCCTTTCTCTCACACAAGCCCTTTACTAACACCTTACAAAATAGTGAAAATAGATTGTCAGCATCACAGTTTTTATTTAACTTGACATCCACTGAGAAGGTAAACCCCAAAGACAAAGTGATGAGGAATATTTTGCAAGATAAACTGTCTAGAAATGGATCTTCAAAACATTCGGGGCTTGTCTCTGGGTATTTGAATGTGTGTCCGTTATACTGAGCTATGATGTATAACATGATCAGTTGTTTTTTATGCTTGAAATCGAATGCTCATCAAAACTAAGTCTTAATTGCTGTCTTGTTTTTATAGGGTCGTCATGTCAAAACAGGCCAACTTGCAGCCATTAAGGTTATGGATGTCACAGGGGTAATGTATCTTTTTTCTTATTATTTCAATAGTTGTTTGTCTGCAACAAGAAATTAGTGAAAGAAAAAATGTTTTCCAAACAAAAATAATCTTCCTCAATATTTAATTCTCACTCGTACTTCCCATAAATAGAATATGCGACAGCTGACCAAGAAAACTATGGATAATTCACTCTAATTAAATTCAGTACCTCCACACTGCATTAGGTAGTTAGAATGAATAATGTGTGCTAGTAATTTACACAAATGTAACCATAGATATTTGCATATAAAGACAGAACAAGGATTTCAAGGTATTAAAAGAATTATACTCGGATTACACAAAAGAGATGGGTCTTAAGAGTTTCCCCAAAAGTCTGCCTAACACCAGAGTAGACAAGAGCTTGGGTAGTTCCAGAATCCTAGTAGGATATTTAATATGAATATTTTCCAAAACAAAATACTTTTAACCAAATAATCACATAACCACAAATTTTTAATTTGTTCCAGAGCAACCTTGAAACAAAATTTCTGCGTGGATGATCAAAAGCAATCTAAGCAACAGACTTAAATGCAGTCAATCCATTTGCTAGATTTATTTAAAATATTTTAATGCCTTTTTAAGAATACAGAGCAAAAATCAGACTTGAAAGGATTCACTGGACATCAAAAGCATGCTAATTATTTTCTATTGTCCTGGGAATTTTTCTAAGCTGTCTGTCTGCTTTACATGAAAGCTATAAGACCAAAGTCTCTCTTTGACCCAGAAGGATATTACGAAACATAAATAGATGTAGAATGAATGAATCGCACAGAAGTGTCAAGAACCAAGACTCAAGGAAGACACACAATAAGTCTCTATGTTAGACATCAAATCATATTTTTCAGGCCCAGTTCATGACCTTGGATATATATGTTCTGTGGTAGTTATCTACCATAATACCAAGCTTACTAATTTTCTCCGTGCCACACATGATACTGACTTTCTTTGTTGTTGATCTGAATTCCTCTTTACAATATTTGTAAAGTTACCTAGAACTAACAAATGTAATATGCATAGTTTCTGTATGTTTATTGCTAGTTGGACAAAGTTCTATTTTTTATTTGTCTTAAATTTATTATACCACTTCAAATATTTAGTCCCAGTTAGTCTACTATTGCACTTGACCTTTATGCAGGGTGATTATGTTAATTAGGTCTAAACTCTTGTCACTTACAAGAGGGTTAAGAAGGGTACAAGGGTCTTGCTCTCTCTAGACTTTGACAGTTCAACAATGTGGGGAGAAGATGGTATTTTTTTCTTTCTGCTATGTCGTCTAACACTATCTCCCTACTGAAGCTCATTTCGAAGTTCCACTAATCCCAACACTCTGAGAAGCCAGGCCAGGAAAGACACATGTTCAGAGCCAGTCTGATCAATTTAGTGACCAAGTGAGATCTTGTGGGAAAAAAAAAAGGCCCTGTATGTATGTCAGAATTGAAGGGGAGTGGGTAGTCGATATTGCAATGGTAAACTAGCGGAGTCTGCTATCAGCCTCCACTTAGAAACCTTCATAAATGTATAACCTTTTGCATAGTTTCAACCACAAAGCAAATCTGAATCTGTTTTTTAATTCTGCTTGTCAAACTACTGCATTTTCCTTGTATTGAATCATATCTGGATATAATGAAATTCATTTGGCAGTTTGACAACTAATGATTGTGGATACAGTCCAAGAAATTCACGCTGTAGATTAAGTTCTGTTGTCTGGTCCTATGGAACGACAGTTAAATTCCAGTGGCATCATTAATCTTAGTGCTTTAACTTGTCTTTGATGTACAGTCTTAATGGCAAACATTGAATATTACTCTTCTAGTTTCTGGTTCTACTAGTGAGGCTTTATATTGTTTAGAAAACCACTCATAATAATATGGCTAGACCACTTTGCTTATAATAAAAAGTTATGGTTATTTATCCCACAGTATGTACTTTCAGGTTAAGAAGTGTCTATTCTCCTTTCTAAATGAGGTTTTTCTAGGCAACTAACCCCTATAGAAAATGACTTGGGAAATACTTTCTCACTTCTCCGAGGATTACATAGAGCTATGCCACCCTACGTGAATAGCAGTTACTCTATCACACAATAGATGCTTTACAGCGTTTAGATTTTGTTCTCTTGGCAAACACGTGTTCATGACTGGTTACATTTATGTGATTTAGTGACATTACTGACTATTATTTACCCAATGACCCTTAACAAAGACAAAAATGGAGTCACAAAACACATTAGGAAATCTGATTTTCTTACTTCCATGGTATATGATGTGGCCTAGAATGACTTCTGGTATCTAACACAAGATTTCCTTTATGAAACTCACGTGGTATCTCTAGAAAACAAGCTTTGCCACACTGTCTTTTGTGTACTATGGAATGCCGCAGAAGCTTCTTACCAATTATTATAATTGTGCTCATTATAGCTGCCCTTTTAAAAACTGAGATAAATTCTCAAAGGTCGTCTTTGTTGATTGTGTGCTGTGATCTACTACAAAGTTGCTATAGTTTATTCTATGAAATTGATGAAATTATAATCTTGAAATTAATTTTTTAATTGTTATTTTTGCTCTATACCATTTCCTTTTTCATAAAAAACACCCACAGACAGACACGAATACATTGCCTGTATCCTTCCAGTTTTAGAGCTGAGGCATTTCCAACTTTACCACTGTTTGCTTCAGAATTACTGCTTACACTCAGACTTGCTCTCTGAAGCCATTTTAGTTCCCAAAATCTTTATGGAAATTTCCCCATTTCATTGCTTTGTGAGAATTCCTTCCCCCACTGGATTTATTTGTTCTCAATTCGTCTAGAGCAGCTCAGAGGAACTGAAATTCTAGAGCAGTGTTTCTCAGTGGTGGACTCTCAGTGCCCTGTGATGTTTATGACTCAAGCAGGTTGCCAAGCCTGCTGTGGAATTTTAGGCTGCCACCTTAAAATAAGCCTTTAGATAAGATTTTCAAGTTGCCCCAGATGAACCGAGATACAGGTCCACTTTGCTGAAGACTAGGTGTGAAGAAGTTCTGAGGCTTTTATAATCTTGAAAATAAATCTGTTTTCATTCAGATAAAAATTCTTGTTGCAAACTCTTTTATGAAAACATCCTAAAGTGTATATAGGACTTAATGAAATAATAATTTCATATTAAAAGTTTTCAGTTTTAATAAACTTTCATGGTCATGTTACTAAGGACACTTTGTGTTGTAGCACCAAATTCCCACCCAGACTGAGTGACGATAAAAAATTATATAAAGCTTGAGTGATATAATGATATGTCATTAATGACATCTGTTTTTCTTTTTTTACCTCTGGGCTCTGTTTTCTTTCCATCATCAGCTCTAGGCTATTGGTCTAACTACCTCATTACTGTTTGTATCAGAAGTATAGTTCTGAATATTAGTGACTGCTTGGTTGACCCCAACCCTGAACCATCTCTGAGTCTCTTCAGCCAGCTTTGGTTTGGATGCTCAGCTCTGCAATTTATCCTAGGAGAAGTTGGGGAATGTTGATTCCTTGAATAAAAATCTGTTATAGAAATAGGTGGGAAAGAGGCTGGGTAGGCAAAAGCCATTAATATATGATGTCTTTATATTAATTTCATTAATATATAGCATGTTTAAAACTGATTTTGTCCTTAAGTAAAGTGCTTAGTTACCTTCATTTATTTTTTTTTTTTACTCCAGCTAAAAATAATAGGATAGCTAACTTTATTTCTGGTAGACTTTACGCAAGGGAATGACATACTAGGATTGAAACTAGTTTACTTCATAGTTACTTGAGTTTGGATGTTTGGTAAGATAGAGGCACAGTAGACTTATTTTTTTGCTTTTTTAATAAATACATTTTAGTGTAAGAGAGAGCAAGTTGGCTTGATGATAAAGAAAATTCCCCAAAATTATCAGTCTTGTCTAGTGAATAGCATAGTTTTGATTCTCATGGTTCTCTTATGATGGTCATATTGTTAAGTCTTTTCTATTCCATCTCTATAGATGTAATATGCCTTATCTCATAGCATTTGTGTAAGAAGTGAATATATGAAAGTGCTGGGTATGTAGAATATGCTATGCAGCACATATTGTTAATATTACTACATCTCTTGAAGACAGTGTTACATTTTTTTCTCCCAATGGCAGAGCAATCCTGTGTTAGTTTCCCTATTGCTATGATACAATATACTGATATCCTCGATTTAAAGGGAAAAAAGCTCAGGGCTCATGGGATTTAGTCCATGATTAGCTGGTTCCAAGGCAGAAACATCATGGCAGAAGGGCATAGAAAAGCTGGACAGGGGACCAGCATGAGCACAAAGGACCTAAAGTCAGGCTTCCATGACCCACATGGGCGCATCTACAAATATATTCCACTGGTTTCCCTAGTGGATCCCAAAGCTAGTCAGGTTGACATTATCCAGTTTAACCATCACAAACCAGCATAAGAAACAACATTCAATACCTGCTTCAGCCTCAAGTCCTTAGAAAACGTTACTTTCTGTCAGGAAAATGATTCCTTTCCCAGTGGTACCACGTAACACTTTCTTTCTCTCCTTCAACTGTAACTTACACATGACCTTAAAAACACAGCTTAAACCTAAGTTTCTCAGGGGCAATTATACCAGCTGCCCAAATTTTCCAGAGCACTAATTTTGTACATGTCTGTGTCACTCCTTGACTTATGTCTCTTTCCTCTGTTAGACAGCAGTGAGTTTCATTGTGGCAGAGCTTGAATCTGTTATGCTCCGTATTGAATGATCATGTTAGTAGCACCCAGTAGTATCCCTGAGTAGGCAGGTAAGTATTTTTGAAAGAAGTCATTTAGATTAGGGTTAATGGATACAACAAATTCACTGTGGCCTGTGGAATGCTGTGGTGAGGTCCTGAGTTCCGTGGATGCTACAGTGAAGAGACATAGAATTGGGCAACTCATTTACTCACCTTTGACTTGTTTCTTATATCTGTAAGAATACAAATGCAAAACTCCACCTTGAAATA